TTATGAATTTAGAAAAGAAAATTATAGGAATAAATTATTTAAAATAAAGTAGACAATTGAAAAAAATAAATTTTAATAGCCTTTTAAAATGACTACTAGAATTGCGACTAAAAAAATAAATTTTTTCGACAATTTAGTAGATCTTTACCAGCATTTTATATAAATGTCGGTAATAGTATTAGCAACACTGGATACACCAACTTTTATTTAAATACTGGTAAAAAAATAATAGTCATTTATATGACCGCTAAATAATAAATTAATTGTCACAAAAAATTAATTTTGGTGTAGTGATATTACTATTAAAAATACAAATGGTTATAAGGCGAAATTTACTTTAAAAAAAATAAAAACTTATAATTTATAAAATGATAATTATAAGAATAAAATTATCTAAAAATGTAGGATATCAAATGAATAAATCTCCTTTTATTAATAGCATAAATATATATGCATAATTTGCTATTTTTAAATTTTGTATGTGAGTTTTCTGTTTCACTGGAAAGTTGACAAAAACTGGTTGAAAAGTTTAGCGTAAAAGTCTTGTCTGTTATTTTATTTGAATCATAGCCTCTCTGGTTATGGTTACATATGGTCTCAAATACATACAGTAACAACTAACAAGCCACATCGTTTTTGAGGCCATGGATGAACAATATCCTGCAATACTTTACAAGCACGACTGCACGAGCACGACCACTATTAAAAATATGCTAATAATTATAGGTAGCTCCATTGATATATAATATAGATTTTATCTAACAAAAATTTAATTGTTAGAAAAATATATATTGTATTTCTAGTTAATCATGTGATGAAATCATATTAATAAATAATTTCATTGTATAAGAAAATGATATATACTCTGCATTACAGTTTTAGTAGGATGCCTACATTACAGTATTATATAAGATTAATATTATATCGATTCTAATGGATTTCCTACCTGTCTCAAAGCTGTCATTTAATTAACCTCAAGAGGTAGTTGTAGAGAAGTGATCTTCTCCTTCTGTAAGTGGTGTGCCAAATAGGGAGAGAATTATTCTTTTATTTTCAGTAGAAATCACGTGTACGTACGAGGCAATCCTACTCAAGGTAAATACAAACATTATAAATGACAAAAAGATTTTGTCTAAATATATTTAATGTAGTTATATATTTAAAACTCAACCTTAATACCACCGATTAAACTAAAACAATCTTATACTAATTGATATATGTAATATGGAGGGAATAGCCGTCAACAAAGTTAAGTACCTTTGAATATTGATAATAAAGACAAGTTTCCAGCACAAAGCTTCCCACATGCACAGCCAAGTCTCGAGGAATTAATGAATCTAATCGTCATCCACTTTCAGTCCATTAGGAAGAACTTTTATTGGGCTTTGATATAAAGTTAGTGAATGGAAGAAACATGGGTGCATGTACAACTGCATATATTAAACAAATATGGATTATTAAAATACAGTATGTGTGGGCAACTGAAAACCTGACGATATGGAGGTTTATATTATATATTTTGGTGCGCCTTAATTCATGAATTCCAAGAGAGAAAATTAACTTATCGTCCATTACATAGAATGTGATAACTATTACATCATGCATGCATGCCAGCGTAATATCACACTAACACTTGCATGATATGAGATTGATAATATACTATTTGAAGCTTTGTTGTTGGATCACTTTTACTACAAAATTCTAACTAGAATAAGAATTTAAATGTGCAAAATTGATTTAATTATGTATGCAAAGTTAAAAAGTTAAACAGCCTTAGGGATATACGCACACAAGTGTTGAATTTAGTCAAACACGAGGGCACTGTTAGCAAATTAAGTCAAGTGGTGATTTTATGTGAATATATAAATGTGACATCTCTTGTATCATTGTCTATAAATTAAGCACATATGTTTCCACATTCATCATATCGTGGCCTGGCCTCTTGCATAATTTGCATCCTTTCTTTGGTCTTACAGTTATTACTTAGACCTTGCAAACTGCAATTAACTATTAACAATGAAGGGGTCATGTAGTTCGAGCGGTTATTACTTTTGTCTGATCAATATGTTCTTGTTGCTTTTGGCAGTAAGTTCTCAACTGACAACAGACTTCTACAAGTCATCATGTCCTAACGTTTCCAAAATAGTAAGGAGAGAAGTTCAAAAAGCTCTAATGAATGAGATGCGAATGGGTGCTTCCTTGCTTCGCCTTCACTTTCATGACTGCTTTGTTAATGTAAGTTTAATTAAGTTATCTATCTATCTATATATATATATATATATGTTTTAATTATATGCACGCTTAAATTAGTCAAATTGTTAGGGATACATTACCTCAAAACTCCCTAATAAAATAGTTTTATATGCATGCTAACTTTATTTTCTTGAACATGATCAGGGTTGTGATGGATCAATACTACTAGATGGTGGTGATGATGGAGAGAAGTCTGCTATTCCTAATCTGAACTCTGCTAGAGGATATGATGTTGTAGATACAATCAAAAGTTCAGTGGAGAGTGAATGTCAAGGGGTTGTCTCATGTGCTGATATATTAGCCATCGCTGCCAGAGATTCAGTTTTCCTAGTAATTTTATTCAAATCCCACTACTCTCTATATATTATTTTTGCTTAAATTCCTTTACAACTCCGCTAACATGCACGGGAATTTCATAAGAGTTACTCAAATAAGTTGGTATTTAGCATTTTACATACATTACTCATTAAGTCTCGTAATGTTTGGTAGAGTGGTGGTCCTTCTTGGAAGGTTCTGCTAGGACGAAGAGATGGAACAGTCTCAAACGGAACACTAGCAAATCAGCTTCCTTCGCCGTTGGATTCATTGGATACCATCATTTCAAAATTTAGTAATTTAGGCCTTAATCTCACAGACGTTGTTTCTTTATCAGGTAATAATAACATATCACGTTAATAATCAATTTGTTAATAAGTTATTAACTAACGATACTAGACAATTAACTTAAATATGATAAAATATATAAAATTTTGAAAACTGAATGATAAAATTGATGATATCCGGAAACATGGATTGCAATTATGCCTAATAAATTCGATACATGTTAACTAATTTATGTATTAATTATTTGTGAAGGTGCTCATACTTTCGGGCGATCAAGGTGTACACAATTTAGCAATAGATTGTACAACTTCTCAGGAACAGGTGCACCAGACAGTACACTAGACACTGACATGCTCTCTGACTTGCAAAGTTTGTGTCCTAAAAGTGGAGATGGAAACGTAACTACAGTCCTTGATCGAAACTCTTCGGACCTATTTGACAACCACTACTTCAAGAACTTGCTCGTTTCAAGGGGCCTTCTGGGTTCTGACCAGATTCTGTTTTCTAGTGACGAGGCTAACTCAACCACTAAACCTTTGGTCCAAAGCTACAGCAACGATAGTGGACTCTTCTTTGTGGACTTTGCCAATTCTATGATCAGGATGGGGAACATAAACCCAAAGACTGGGTCTGATGGAGAGATTAGGAAGAACTGCAGAGTGATCAATTCTTAGTACATGAATGAGGCTTTCCAAGATGTGAAATAATAAGCACAAGATCGGGTGTGTCTTCTAGTTACAATAGCGTAGTTTAGGTTGGTGTTGTTATGTTATTAACCGGAATGGAAATGTGCTTTCATGTGCCACATGGTGGATATGAAAACCTAACCAAGGTTACAAGGCAAAAGACAAACTACAAATATTAAATAAGATACTTGAATCATTTCCTTTCATCTTTTAAGGGATTTAACTTATTATATTCTTCAGTTTAATTTACAACACTTACTAAATAGAGAAAATAGATAATATCAGTAAGCAAAGTTAAATGTTTTCACATTAAATATTACCATTATATTTTTTAACTTATTAAAAATTATAACATTTGATAAATTTTATTTCTTATTTAATGCTTTTTTTTAATATTAATTTAATTTATTAATTTTGTCAATTTTATTTGGTTTTTATTTTCAAAATAAAATTATTTTTCATATTATGTAATATTCATTAATTATTTATTTTTTCTATCTTATATATAAGTAAAAAAATTGATTCATGCTTAAAATAATAATTTTATATTTTAGAAGATGAAAATAAAATAAATATTTTATAAAAGTAAAAATTTGCTCAATTTATAAGATCAAAAATAACATTTTAAATTTTATAAGAACTAAAAATAAAATTTTCTTATAGAGATTATAATTAAATTTTAAGGTTTAGAGTTTAAGATTTTTGTATTTATGCTAAAAATATTAATTTCTTGTAAGAAGAGACCGAAGAGGGATTGGGAAGAACTAACGAAAATAAAGAAAAATTTTAAATTTTCAACAAATAATTTCAATAAATTTTTTTTACTATTTTTAGCAGTTAAAATTTATTAAAAAATAATTATTTAATTTAGAAAACTTATTTCCTATTTTTTTGACACAAAATCTTATTTTTTATTTAAAGTGTAAAAAATTTATATTTACTAGTAAAGTCTAGGTACTTCGTGTCTCTATTAAAGATAAAATAAAATAAAAATTAAGTAATAAATATATATTGATCTAATATTATAATTAATTAATTAATTTTAAGGTCTTGAGTTTGATGAAAATATTTTTTTTAAATTTTTTAAAATTAAAAAGTATAATGATCAACAAAATATAAAGATTAAAATAGTTACTAAAAGTGATATTCCTTTATATATTTGTATAAATATTAAAAGTTCTATTTAGGATGTATAAAAAAAAAATATTAGAACCAAATTAAATTAAATATAGAATCAAAGACCATCATTAGAAAATAAACTCAATTTCACTTTTGTTCTTCAAGTAAAAATTATGCGATTTTGATTTTCCAAGATTAAATTAAGTGAATTGGGTTTCCTAATTATTACAATGGTGTAAATTTGATTTTTTTTGTCAATTTTTTTTAAATCTAATAATTTTGGTGGATGGCACACATATGTTGACATTAAACAATGATTCTCATATGAAAATAAAATTAAAAGTTTATTAAAATGTAAAAGATGAAATGTGATAATTGCTGGTTAGTGGTCGTTGAGAGCATTGCTCGTTAGTTGTCGGCGGAGAAACGCCGCAGAAGAGAGAAAACGGGAGCGGCGAGAGCGAGGTTTGAGGCACAATGAGCGGTGACGCCACGAACTGGGACGAAGATGCATACAGGGAAACCGTACTGAAGGAGAGGGAGATTCAAACGCGAACCGTTTTCCGAACCGCTTGGGCCCCGCCCTACAGCACTAACCTCGATACACTCCTTGTCGCCTCTAGCGACGGTTCCGTCGCATCCTACTCCATCGCCGCCTCTAAGCTAAAAAACGTCCGTATCATCTCAATTGCATTTCGAACTAATTTTATTTGGCTTCAACTATCATTTATTTCCACTGCTCCTGATTTCACTTCACTAAGCGCCTTTACTTCTTCGGATGATCGAACTAACGGTTCTTATTTCGTTGTTTTTGCTTTTTCTGCAGCCGTTTGGTTTTGTCAACGCCGATACAGATACGTATGTAAACGTTCAGAATTTATGCCTAATCGATTATTTATTGGTCTTAGGGTTAACCGTGTTTTGCGTGCAATGCTGTTGGTTTAGGTTATTGGCAGAGCCAAATTGCTTCGTTCAAGCGCATGATGGACCTGCGTATGATGTCAAGTTTTATGGTGATGGCGAAGATGCTCTCATGCTGAGGTTCAAATTATTACTCTGTGACTGTATTCCTACTACCTTTTCATGATGAACCGCGCTAGGATACTTTTCTGCATGCTTGTCGTGTATTCATAAAGAGGCAGACTCAAATGTGGGACTATTAGAGCATGGTTTTTGTGTTTGCTGCACGAGTGCTACCATTGTTTCTTATTTTCTACTTGGAAAGTGTTTATTACCCTTTTAAATTTTAAAATGAGAACATTATGGTACTAATTGTCCTGTGTGATCTATATCATGCCTCAAGTTAATAGATCTGAATTTCATATTTGAAATGTTGGCATTACCATTCTGGTTTTTGATAGTTGAATTTAGTATTTGAAAGTTCATTTTTTCACCATGCATGCCTATGTTATGTGCGATTTTATTTGCATTTACTAGCATGATCGGGAAGGAAATAATTGCATGATGAGTCAATTTGTGAACTTGCTATATAAGGGTTTTGTTTTAAAGAGAAGGGAAATTCTTTTTGCTGGCTATTGTTCTGGGTTTGCAGATGTTATAGTGCATTTTAATACAATTCTTATGCATGAAGAAATGATTGTTTATGACTAGATGCAATCAAACCACTTGGCACAACTCCTGACAGCAGTTTTGTCCTGCAGCTGTGGTGACGATGGTCGGATTCGAGGATGGAGATGGAAGGAATTTTCAAACTCAAGTTCTTTGGTTTTTTCCCAAGGTGATAATGCTTGTCTGGGAATGGTTAATTTTTGGAGAATAATTATTTTTTTTTATAAGAACCTTGGGAGCTTCATACCGCAAAAGCTTGCTGTTGTAGTTGGAGAGTTGAAGGCCTTATAAACCCCACATTAGAATCCCATACTTCCACTGTTGGACTCCAAGTCCCGTACCTAACAATTGGATCCTAATATCTTTTCAAAAGCTCTCTCAAGAAGATGGTAAAAATGCAATTATTTCCTCAAAATAAACTGAGCCAAACATGCATTACAGTTGCGGTTAAATTTTAACTTAACCCTACTATTAGTGCATTCATTTATATTGTTTTCATCTCTGAAGTAACTTGCATCATTGTTTTCTTTGTTTTCCCCTGATTATTTTGTTTATGCATCTATGAATCTTAGTATTTTATTTTAACTTGCAACTTTTTCTTTTTTATATAGGAAGCGCCTGTTGGATTTGTTTCTTTGCAAAGTACGATAAAACTAAATCTGATTGATTGCATTTTTACATAATCTATATCAAACTGCAAAGTGTTAATGAGAATTGATGTTTGTTCCAGTTGAAATTATAGGTAAAGATGGAAAAGATAGAAGAAGGAAATGCAACTCAGATGATATTAGAAAAGTTATGATGTATATATATGATATAAAACACTAATATAGTATTCCTATTTATATTAACATTCTAGGTGAAGTACTAGAATTGTAAAACTAGTACAAAGTATGGACCATTAACACTTCTTTCATGATAAGACTTATAAATGGATATGTCAGTGAGAAATAGAATCATAATACCCTAATAGTTCTGAATCTCATTTTTATTTTCTTATATAAGGATATAGATTGATGTTATGCAGAAAGTGTTAACTTTGTTCCCAAATATAAGTAAATTATGGTTGGCTGAATTTCAATGGTTGCTACTAAGGCTCACTATGACATCATTCTGTATCCTCTTCTTTTCCTTCTCTTACTTCTTGTATGTCACTTACTTTCTTATTTTTACTGTTGAATTAACGATTTGCTGTATGTCTTATGTATGTCATCCCCTGATATTTCAGGAAATGACATCAAGCCTGTACTTGATGTGGTGAATCCTCAACACAAGTGAGTTTTTAGAGAATTGATGCTTGTTTCAGCTTTGTTTGCTAGTTGTTTTCTGTAATTATTGCAGAACTACAGGATGCTTTATCCTTCTTGATATCACTGCTTTTTGGTTCATATTTCCTGCATATCTCTGAATATACTCTAGTACATTTGGGTTCTATGTTTGGCATTGTTGTCTATTGCACTAAAATTATTTAAAATGATTTGGAAATAATATTGAATGTTTACAATTATTGTTTATCTTACTTGCTTTTACAATTATCAATGTTAACTTTTATTGTATTTGCTTGACTTGAAACCTGTCAGCAAAGGATATTCTTCTCAAAATCTGGCATGAGCAGAACATTTTTAGCTTATTATATATTATCTGCAATTCCTTTGTACCAATGCTTTTGGTTGTCTGATTGTCCTCTATATACCCACACACTGTTGCCTTTCAGAGGTCCTTGGGGTGCCCTTTCACCTATCCCTGAGAATAATGCTATTGATGTTAATACTCAGGTTTGCAATTGTTTTCTACCTTTTATCACAATAATTTGTTTGTTATTTCATGACTGAGTTTGTGTCTATATTTTCTTGTTTAATTGTAGGGGGGATCTGTTTTTGCTGCATCTGGTGATTCTTGTGCATATTGTTGGGATGTGGTATGTATTCACGGGAGGTGAATATAATTCTTGCATATGAAGTTTCTTGGATAACTTGATTTATAATTGTATTTGTGCTGATGGTGGACTAACATGTTTTAATGTTTGTAGGAAACTGGTAAAGTGAAAATGGTATTCAAGGGGCACACTGACTATTTGCATTGTATAGTTGCACGCAACTCATCCAATCAGGTTTGATTATTGACCTTATTGTCATTTGGACTTGATGGTAGTTAGTAACCGAAAGAAATAAACCCAAAGGTGAAGAATGGAGTTTGTGTCTTGTTCAGACACTGGTCTGAATTGTATCAAGTACATGGAAGCATTTTACAAGCTTTTACAGCTGTACAAAATGACATGAAATAATATAACACCTAAAGCTAAAGAAACATAATTAATACAATAAGACAATGCATAAAACTAAAGATACAAAACTAAAACAATAGGACTAACATAAGTTTCCCTGTATATCTAGCAGTGATAATTTTTTCTCCATCACATTTTCTGTTTACAAACTTATTGCAGGAATGTTTGCATTTGGAGTTTTAGAATTGATTTTTTATTTTATTTTTAAATATTTTTCATGAATGTATGAGAAAGAGAATGAGCCACACACTCATTTGTGTGCAATTAAGATAAAAATTGTGGATATAAGAGGAAGAGTAGCGGTCGTATAGTGGAGACAATGGTATTAATATAAAACAAGGAGAGTGGAGCGATTACATGGAGTTTTATTATTTAAAATAAATTTATTTAGTTTTAAATTTTTGCACTATATATGATATTGTCTTTATTAGTAGTAAAGGTATATGTTAATACTTTTTGGAACTATATGACACATAGACAGGGCAATAGTTTCATGTACCATATGAAAGGCTATTGAAGGGGAAATGAGAAAAAAGAGGGATTTATAGTTATATACTGTTGAAGCAACTAGAAATCTTTTCTGCTGAAATAGTTCCTACAAAATGTTAAAACTTTACACTAGCAATAGAATTTAAAGTTCCATTACTCTTCTGGTATTTTAAAATCCTGAGTTCCCTACTGCTAAAGCATCTTCTCTGTTGCCATTTCCCTTTTTCTTAGTGATCTTTTTGTCTGCACACATTGTGTTTAGTACCCTAGTTTTTTAACTGCTGGTTTTTTCTGATCAATGTTCAGATCGTAACAGGTTCAGAGGATGGGACAGCACGAATTTGGGGTATTATTCATTTTTCAGCTCAAGTTAATAAAGCTGAACAAATTAGATTAATTACATTTTTATCTAAATTAGTTGGTTACTGAAACATATTGGTGTAGCTTTTATGGTTTTATTTTTTTTTTGTGGCTTATTTACCATGTGTTTACTAGATTGCAAAAGTGGAAAGTGTACCCAAGTGATTGATCCAGCAAAAGATTTGAAGTTAAAGGGATCTGCTTCATGGGTTGGCTGTGTTGCTCTAGATGCAAGTGAGAGTTGGTTGGTAAGAGCATATCTCTTATTTTATAATTCCTTGGCCCTTGCCTTCATATTTTTGGTCTACATTGCTAATCTGGTAAAAGAAATATGAATGTTCAGACAAAATGTTGATCGCTTCTGTGGTAACTACAGATGCAGTTGATGTGACGTAATGAGAACATATATTACACAATAGTTTCACTTTCTGATGCTATTGGCATATGATGATTTAACAATTAAGACTTGGATAATCATTATTTCTAACTATGATACATTTTCTTGTTCTGTGTGATAATAAGTATTGTACGAGAAGCTATTTTTGCCAGTAAGTTTTCTATTTCAGCAATAAAAATCACACGTTGCTAGCCAGAATAATCTCCACATTATAAGGTTGTTCTTAGCAGTGGCAAATGGATCCATTTAACCATCATCCTTCCAATTCATCCACAAGTAAACTCATCCAATTCATTCATTACAATAAAAATAAATAATGGATCGAAACCAATACATCTATTTAATTTTATGGATGGTTAGTGATCCATCCACTACTTTTTTAGAATTTATTAGATTACATATGAAATGTTTATTGGATTGAGATTTTTAAAGGCTATTTTGACATTAAAAAAAAACAAGTTTTGTGAATTTTAGAAAATTATATAAGAATGTAATGATTTATAAAAAAAAGAGAGAAATAAAATATTTTAAAAAATAAAAATTATTTAGTTTTTAAACATTATTTTTATGGATGAACACATGTATGGGAGAATATGGTGTGTATGTTGTTAAGTTGTTGCTTGATTTTATAAATTGTTAAGGGACCATCACTTTTATTCAGGCTTGCAGTAGTGGACGATATATATCACTTTGGAACCTTCCTGCTTCAGAATGTGTATCAAAGATTCCAACTCGTGCTTGTGTACAGGACATGTTATATGACAATAATCAAGTGAGTCGGTTATCTCTCTATATTTTCTCTTAAGTTGTTTCAAACACGGTCATGCATGGTCATACTCTTTTGTTATCTCTTTATTTGATCTTGGTGATATGATATGCATTTGATGAGCTGGTATGGTGATGCTATCAAAATTGATTGGGTCATTTATAATCTTTTAAAAGCAAGAATAGATGCTCTCAAAAAAGGATAAATGTCCACTCTAGATGATAGTGGTATAAATTCACAGTTCAGCGCCTGTGGTCTCTGTCCTTATATATTTGTTTTGTTAGCTCGTATATTTTTCTGGTGTAAATTTGCCTTGCTTATTTTGCTCCTCTGTCAGTTGTAAGTATTGCAATTATCATTCAGTATCTGTCACATGGAAATTGTTAATCTCTTTTAATAGAGTGACTCATTTGTTGTTCTTATAATATAATTTTAGCTCTCGTAATTTTTGTTAATTGTATGTATTTCTTTCAGATTTTGACAGTTGGTACAGATCCTCTACTCAACCGCTTTGACATGAACGGCACGATCCTATCACAAATACAATGTGCTCCTTCATCGTCTTTTTCTATCTCCTTACATCCTGCAGGGGTATGTTCTGATTCAAAATCATTGCTATTGAGTTGTTTTGGTACCTTTGCAATGCTTAGCTCAAACATGCTGATGGACTCCTTGTTACTCTCATTTGATATATTGGGTGCATTACTGTGTCATTCATTTCAGGTTATGGCAGTTGGAGGTTATGGATGTCTTGTTGATGTTATCTCACAATTTGGCAGCCACATGTGCACATTTCATTGCCAATGTGTCTAAGCGAAGTTCTCGGATAGTTTTAAAATTCTGATACCTCCAGGCCAAAAGCTCAAAACAATTTCCAAGCTTCGGGATTTAGTTCAGTATCGGGAGGGAATCATGGATATCTTATAATTATGAGAGTGGTCAGAAAAAGAAGTTTTTATTTTATTTTAATTTTTTTTTTAAAGGGAGTGAGGGCTGAAATGTAAGAAATAGGAAAAGCTTGGAGAATAAGTTATTTTGTTTTAAAAGAACAAATGTTGTAATTTGATGAGTATCATTTAATATGATGGAAGTTTTTGCTTCCTTTGTTAACATCTACGTTCTTTAGGGAAACCGGAGGCGATCTTTTCTTCTAAATAAAGCCCTTGTGCAGTTATGCTTAATGAGTAACACATTACACATCTGCCTTGCTGTCTAATTCGGGTTTCATTCTTATAAATATACTGCTCAGCCTATTTATCAACAGGCAAAGATTCCTCATCTGCATGTTTCTGAAGTTTTCGAGTTATCCCATCCCATCTCAATCTCTCTCTCTCTCTCCCCTTTACATATTTTAAATGAGTTCCCACTATATATAACTCGTTGTTTACTTATTTAAGTAACTCTTCTCTCCAATCCAATAACTTTGAAAGTTCTACTAAATGGATCCTACAAATAATCCCACATCTTTATATTGTAGGGTACTGAGAAAATTAATTTTGTAAAATTATTATTTTTTGTTCATTTATTTATAACATGTTTGAGACAATACCTAAAATTTGTAAAAGAAAAATTTTAAAAATAAATTAATTTCATACATCTGAAATATTTGAAGCTTGTATAGTTATTTCATATTATGGTTGTAATTGATAATTTACAATTGATTATATATATAATCGGTTATTGGAATAATTTAATTTCTGTAACTGTTTTAAACATATTCTTGTTAGTTTTTTTTTTCTCTATAAAAAAAATAATAAGATGACAATTATTATAGAATAAATACTTTCTTATCCCTTGTGAATTGCACAACTCCTATAATGCAACCAGAAAAAACAACAGGAACATGAGTAAGCATAATCTTTTTTTTTTCATAGTAGTTTTTTTAAAAATTTTAATTGCTTAATAAAAAAGAGCTATATGTCATATAAAGGAAGATGAAGGAGAAATAAAGCACATAATCCGCAAATAAGAAAGAAAATAAGTAACAATAAAAAGAAGTGACAGGAAGAGGGAAATGAGAGTTTTCTTTAGGAATTAAAAATGAGAGATATTTGAAGAGGTGTGAAAAAAATATTTAGATAAAAGTATCGACAAGGAAGATGAAAGGAGATGCATTTAATAAAGAGATGCGTTTGATAAAATGGGCCGAGAAGACAGAATGATATGGGCTGGCTGGAGCCCAAAGGAAAAGCGATGAACTGTTGCGCGAGAGTTTGACCTGTTTTCGTTGACCGGGTGCAAAGGGGCAAAATAGGGAATATTTGAGCCCGGTATCGTCTAGGAACCCTGGTTTTATTTATCACTGCATAGTATACTTTCTCACTCTCACTTCCCTCTCTGCAACCAAACGCTCTTCGTTATCTTTTCTCGACTCCGCGGCGTAGATCCGAGGAGTTCGGGAAACCCTAACTCAACTTCCATCACCAAAACCCAATCCACTCTTCATCATCATCTCAAGGTCTCTCTTCCACCATACTCTTTACTATCGCAATCCCCTTTTTTCTTCTACTTTTCGCCGCTTCTTTCTCACAACATAATACTTCTATATTTTTTTTTTGTATTTGCCTGCTATTCATTATCTTTAAACTTCATTTTTTTGTGGTAAATAAATGTCTCTGTCATGCTCACTCATATTTCATATTGTATGTTTGTTCCACGCTTTCAGAGATACGAAGCACAATATTGCTGAAGTCGTTTCATAATTTTATTCTGTTTGAGATGACACTGAACACTCGCCTTTACTTGTGCCGATTTTGTTGATAATTGCGTTGTGTAATAATTTCTGTTCGTTTTGCAGTCATGGCTGGAATTGCACCTGAGGGGTCACAGTTCGATACTCGTCAATATGATTCCAAAATGAATGACTTGTAAGATTTTTCTTCTAAGCAATCTGGTTTTGTCATCAGCTCTTCATTTCTATGACTGAAATGTTGGTCTATGTTCTTGTTTTCATGTTGATGCGTCGTTGCAATTGGATGATAATGTTAATGTTAAGTGTTGGATTTTGATGGCTTTTTTTATTTATTTTAATTTTCCCTTTCAGACTTTCATCTGATGGGCAGGATTTCTTCACTTCCTATGATGAGGTCTATGATAGTTTTGACGCTATGGGTTTGCAGGAGAATCTTCTCAGGGGCATTTACGCATATGGTAAATTTAATGTTCTTTTCCTCTTTTCCCATTCCTACCTTTAATCACCCAAAAATAATATTCATCCTAGTGATTGCCATTGGTGGTTCATTGTTATGCCTTGGAATTCTTCTGTTTTCAATCGTTCAAAATATATGGTATCAAAGCATAACACTAGAAACAGGGTGTGTCATACTCGACTGTATTTTTTTATTAAACCGTGGTGTTTTTGTTGTCCTGCTCCTGCGGTATGTTCCAATCCTTAGACTTAGTTTGTTATCTGCTTTAGGTTTTGAAAAGCCATCTGCCATTCAGCAAAGGGGAATAGTTCCCTTCGTCAAGGGACTTGATGTTATTCAGCAGGCTCAGTCTGGAACTGGGAAGACTGCTACTTTCTGCTCCGGTATTCTGCAGCAACTTGACTATGGCTTGACTCAATGCCAAGCCTTGGTTTTAGCACCAACCCGTGAGCTGGCTCAGCAGATTGAGAAGGTTATGCGGGCACTTGGAGATTATCTCGGTGTGAAGGTTCACGCATGTGTGGGAGGTACCAGTGTGCGTGAAGACCAACGCATTCTATCTAGTGGTGTTCATGTTGTGGTTGGTACCCCTGGTCGTGTGTTTGACATGCTGCGCAGGCAGTCACTTCAGCCAGATTACATCAAGATGTTTGTATTGGATGAGGCTGATGAAATGCTTTCCCGGGGTTTCAAGGATCAGGTGCTTTTCAATTCACAACTTGTGTAATGCCTTTTCACTTTAATTTAACTGATATTTTATGTTTATTTTATAAGTAATACCTATACTTTATTATCTTCTTTTGTATATTGATGTGTAAACTCTCCCATTTCAACTGTTTTACTTTCTTTATTATCATTAAAATATTTGTATTTTCAACTCGAGCAAACACGTTTTATGGTGGGCTCATGTAAACTCGAGCAAACTCAATCGGACTTGCTTAAACTTGAAATTGCGGGGCGGGTTGGCAAATTTAATTAGTGCCCAAAAGCTGAGGAAAAGAAGTTAAGAGCACCAATAGAGAAAAATTTCGTGACACCCAATTTGTGATTTTGATTTTCATTGACAACACTGATCTTGCAATTTCCACCTCTGCTCAATCTCTCTCGTGATTCTGTTGTCTTTGTTGAAGGTTCTCTCTGTTCTATGTTTTGTTTCTCTCTGTTCCGTTGAAGACTTCAATTTTCTGTTACAGACTACAGTCATCTCTTTCTGTGTATTGTCTCTCTCTGTTCAGAAACTGCTGGGCAGCAAGTAGGAGCTGTACTTTCCTTCTAACCCTCCTTTTTTTCTCTACCCTCTGTACTGGTGTGCTTTCTTATTTAATAATTTTGTTTTTATTTTATAGGTTAGAAGCCTTCTATTCTCTGACCTCCTGGTTTTATAATTAGTCTTGTTAACATTGTATTTGATGAATTGAAAGTTTCCATTTGAGATAAATCTAATGGTTTTATTATACTTACTGTAATGGTGAGTAGTCATATGGAGAGTATATTTCACTTTCTGCATATTGTTGTTTTTCATATTTCAGCATGATTTTTATATTTCAAACCATAATCTATTACCAAACTTTGTTAATTTATTGTTAGTTTGTTAATTTTTATATTTTGAAGTCCAAATGTTGAAATATTATTATATTAAAAATATTGTGTTTCAAGCATATATATATTTTTAGGTTTTTAAATACTATTTTTGTATTGGGTAAACTCTAATACAGTGGCTTCATGAGTTTGAGTAAATTCTTGAGTTTGACAGCCTCGGTAACATGTAATAAAATATGAATGCAATTGCCTTTCAATTTATTTTTTTAAGAACCACCTATTGGGTTAATGCAATTGTTAAAAGGATTGATATGTGTAACCGCTCTAACATTGGTTTTATATGGTTATCAGATCTACGATATATTTCAGCTGCTGCCATCTCAGATTCAAGTGGGAGTTTTCTCTGCTACAATGCCTCCCGAGGCCCTTGAGATCACAAGGAAGTTTATGAACAAGCCTGTGAGGATCCTTGTGAAGCGTGATGAGCTCACCTTGGAGGGTATAAAGCAGTTTTATGTCAATGTTGAGAAAGAGGAATGGAAGCTGGACACACTCTGTGATCTTTATGAGACCTTAGCTATCACTCAGAGTGTCATTTTTGTGAACACTAGAAGGAAAGTTGATTGGTTGACTGACAAGATGAGAAGCCGAGACCACACAGTCTCAGCAACCCATGGAGACATGGACCAGAATACCAGGGACATTATTATGCGTGAATTCCGTTCTGGTTCTTCCCGTGTCTTGATTACTACTGATCTTTTGGCTCGTGGTATTGATGTCCAACAAGTGTCTCTAGTTATAAATTTTGATCTCCCTACACAGCCTGAGAACTATCTTCATCGTATTGGTCGTAGTGGGAGGTTTGGAAGGAAAGGTGTTGCTATCAACTTTGTCACAAAGGATGACGAGAAAATGCTGTATGACATCCAGAAGTTTTATAATGTGTTAGTTGAGGAGCTTCCTTCAAATGTGGCCGAGCTCCTCTGATGAGATTTTGTCCTCCATCGTATTAGATGTAATGCTTCTCTCTCCCATCTGTTTCCCTGGTTGTACTTCTGCTCTTAAACTTTGTTTAATAGGCTTAGTAATTTAATTTAAATTGTGAGTTGTCTGAATATCTAACTGATTATTACTTTGCTATGTCGAATCTCATTAATGACCCAATTGGTGTATGTCTGTCGTTGCACATTTCTAGCTGGCATCTCTTCCAGAGTACGTTTTAATTTTACTTGATCGTAAAATGATTTGTTTGTGTATTTTTTTAGGTTATGATTTGATGATCAGTGATAGTGATGAGCGGAATGAGATGAAATGAAATTGAAGAAAACAAAATTATTATATTATAATTTAGGTCTTATAGTTGATAGAATTGTGTAAAGGGTTTATTTAAGCAAAAATATAATAATAAAAGTAAACAAAAAATTAAGAATTTTGGAAATTAACGTGTTTATGTTAAGAATTTTGAGTAAAATAGTTGAGTTACTTCCCTTTTGAAAGTTTTGAAAAATAGGGTTATGGTTTCCTAAACCGAGTTTTTTTCACAATGCATGCTGGGGTATTCCGCCTTTTCATTTTGGGCAACGTTTGCAATTTTATTATGGTTACGAATCATGTAGCGATTTTCTAAAAATTAAGGAGGTCAAGGTGTAAACTTATAATAATGTAAGTACTAATGAACAAAAAAGAGAATTTACTGTATATATTTAATATAGGAAATAATTTGCCCTTAAATTAAGATGTTAGACTTTGTATTTATTTGATTAGATAAAAAATAAGAAAATATACAATTTTATTCCTAAAAATGGTATACTAATTTAGTCCTTGAAATTATTAATTTCGTATCAAATTGGTTCTTTTTAATGTAAACTTTACTTAGTTTAAGAGTTAAATTTTTTCATGAAAATTAAATGATATATATATATATATATAAAGGAATCTATTTATTTCGCTTAATAACACACGTTCTATATCAAATTTTAAGAATTTTTTTTTTTTGTTCATTCCTGGAGTATCTACCGCTGACAGCAGTGACTAATCTTCTCGCTACGTTGGAGGCACCTCAAAGGGTGGGATAGCTGACCCCAAGATTTAACACGGCTGCATACACAAGGCAGGATTCGAACCTCTGACCTTGTTTAAGCGTAGATCAACCCCTACCGCTGAACCACACGCTTGGGGTTAAATTTTAAGAATTTTATTAATTCAAATCAAGGTATAAAATAATTTTATAATTATTTATTGATTTGGATTAATAACAAGAAGTATCAAATGATTTTTAAATTTTTAAAAATTTGTGATGTTAATCTATGTGTTAAAAATTTTAAATCAATGATTGGATCTTTAAAATTTAATATAAAACATGAGTTATTAAATGTAGTAAGTTTAGATAAACTTATTTCTTAAGTAAACAAATGCTCTCTCTCTTTCTCTCTCTCTCTCTCTATCTATCTATCTATCTATCACATTTCATGGGGACATCTATGGGAGGTTGAAAATTACTAATGCCTATTGTTTGCTTGGAAGTATTCTTTTGGCACACCGCATAGACGGGCCACTTGTTTCGAGAATACTCGTAATAAATATTTGTGTAAGCATACACATATACCATCATATATACAATTGTTTTCACGTCAAATTATATAATAATGTGGATTATATATGTGTACATGACATGTATACATTTGTAAGAATAGATATATACCATGTATAATTATTTTTTACCACATACATATATAATTTTTATGATTATCTATATGACTGTTACATGATAATCCTATATAAATTATTGTCTACTTTACTTATTGGATTGTTACAAAATTAGTGTATTTGAATTAAAATAACAAATGTCTTACAAATAATTTTAGTGAAATATCTTAGTGGAACAATTTTATGCTGTCGAAAGTGGATTTTTTTTTTCTTTTTCTTTTTATACTTCAGTAACTTTATGCAAAGTCATTATATTGCTGTACTTTGTATCCAGTATCAAAATTTTCACACATTTCATGGGGACATCTATGGGAGGTTGAAAATTACTAATGCCTATTGTTTGCTTGGAAGTATTCTTTTGGCACACCGCATAGACGGGCCACTTGTTTCGAGAATACTCGTAATAAATATTTGTGTAAGCATACACATATACCATCATATATACAATTGTTTTCACGTCATCGATCACTCAACTCAACATTTATGTTATGTTACCCTTTCAGATACAAAAATACTAAATTAGGGAGATTTTCCCATTGCCCACCTCTACATGTTACTACTTTCCACCAGCTAATTTTGACCATACATCAACATCGACTATTCCAACCGACTTCCCTTTTAATTCTTTAATTTTCTTTAAAGTGAGGTTCTTATATGAATTTTTAAAATAATTAACTTTTATTATTAGAGTATAGTAACTTGTTAAAACTGATTTCTATATAAGAACTCGCAATAATCAGATTTTTGTAACAAAAAATAGAAGATAATGAGTTTATTATTATTTTTTGTTGTTGTGAATAAATGAATTTATTATGAAATTCTGAATTAAGAACTTAAGTTAGATTTTTTTTATTGGAGATAAAATAAAAAAAATCTTAAATTACACATAACATTAAGGGACTCATAAAAATTGCATTAAGAACTCAAAATAAATTATACTATTATAAATGCTCAAAAAAATAGATTAGATCAAGTTGTTTGTTTTAAGATTAGGTTAAAAATTTCACCTCAATTCCATTCGCAGTGGGTTAGTCCATCAATTTTCTTCAATTCTTCTACATTTGCACGCGTTTACCAGGACACTACCCTAAATCGGGGATTTGGGCCCAAAGCCCAAGACCAGTAAAACTTACTTTGGGAAAGCCATGTGCATGTTTTTTTTTTTTTTTTAAAGATAGGAAAGATTACAAAGATGATCGCAATTAAGATTGAACTTAGATCCTCATGCTTCTAACCAGTGACAGATCCAGAAATTTTAGATAGTGGGAGAAATATTTATTTATATATTTATAGTATTAAAAATTTTACATATAACTTTTAAAAGTATAAATATATATTATAATTATTTTTTACAAATTT